GCCCGCACCCCCTCCGCCGGCCCCGCCGGCGTCCGCTGCCGAGGCTGCGCCCCCCGTTTCTGCCGCCACCATCGCCGCAGCCGCAGCCACCGCCATCGTATCCCCAACCTCGACGGTCGTGGCCTCGGTTGCATCTGCCTTGGAGAAGAAGACAAAGAGCAAGGGGCCCTACATCTGCGCCCTGTGCGCCAAGGAGTTCAAGAACGGCTACAACCTCCGGAGGCACGAGGCCATCCACACGGGCGCCAAGGCCGGCCGGGTCCCCTCGGGTGCCATGAAGATGCCCACCATGGTGCCCCTGAGCCTCCTGAGCGTGCCCCAGCTGAGCGGAGCCGGCGGCGGAGGGGGAGAAGCGGGTGCGGGCGGCGGAGCGGCGGCGGTGGGAGCCGGGGGTGTAGTGACCACCACCGCCTCGGGAAAGCGCATCCGGAAGAACCACGCCTGTGAGATGTGCGGCAAGGCCTTCCGCGACGTCTACCATCTGAACCGACATAAGCTGTCGCACTCCGACGAGAAGCCCTACCAGTGCCCTGTGTGCCAACAGCGCTTCAAGCGCAAGGACCGCATGAGCTACCACGTGCGCTCACATGACGGCGCTGTGCACAAGCCCTACAACTGCTCCCACTGTGGCAAGAGCTTCTCCCGGTGTGCGCGGGGCCCGGTGTGCGCGGGGCTCAGGCCTTGGCCGCGCGCTAGGCCGTGGGGAGGGAGGGACTGCTATGGAGGTGGCCTGGCCTTGGCTGGTGGGAGGGAGGTTTCTGAGGATGGGGGACGGGGAGCCACTCCCAGGGAGGAGGGAGGAAAATCTCTCTGGGTTGCCAGGGAGCAGGGGGTGGTACTTAGCAAAGGAGGTGGGTCTTAGGATTGTTGGAAAGCGTGGCGTGGACAAGGCGGCCTGCTCCAGGGGAGGGATTTCCGGCCCGGGGCTTGGGAGAAAATGCAGGGACCTTTAAAAGGGCTTTTGTACTAGGTGAGGCGGATTCGGGGGCATTTGTTCACTGCAGGGCCTAACCCCATCCCCAACGTATCCCCAGGCCGGATCACCTCAACAGCCATGTCAGACAAGTGCACTCAACAGAACGGCCCTTCAAATGTGAGGTAGGAGCCCTCTTCCTGTCTTGGTTTTCATGATTTTGATCCTCATTGTAGTTGTCTGAGTTCAGCCTCTCAGACCCCCTTTTTCTCTCTTTTTGCTTTTTCACTCCATTTTCTCATCCCTTCTTCAAGGCCTCATCGTCTCACTCCCATTTCCTACAGATCAAAGATCCCCAAGGCTCTGATTCCTTTAACCTCTTGTTCCCCTCTCCCCACCCCCTGAAGCTTTAACTCTCCTGACACCCCCCACACCCCTCCCCCTTCCCCAGAAATGTGAGGCAGCTTTTGCTACGAAGGATCGGCTGAGGGCGCACACAGTACGACATGAAGAGAAGGTGCCATGTCACGTATGTGGCAAGATGCTGAGCTCGGCTTATATTTCGGACCACATGAAGGTGCACAGCCAGGGCCCTCACCATGTCTGTGAGCTCTGCAACAAAGGTACATTCTGAGGGATGCCGGGAGGGCCAGGGACAGCGGGTGGGGACAGTCAGAGGCCCTTTCACAGATGTGAGCTAAAGGTGCTGTAATGAGCTCGTGGCTTGTAGAGCCCTCTAGGAAGCAAATGGAGCACACTGGGACCACTGAGCATCGTTAAGCTCTGAGAGGTCATGGCTGGAGGAGGTGGCACCTCTGGGTATGCGTGGGGAGGATGGGAAGGGACATGCTGTTTGGGGAAGGAATGGTCAAGAGCGCCAGGGCCCAGGGGTTGAGAGACAAGGTGTCAGCCAGTTTCTCATCTTCGGCTCCCGCGGCCAGTGGAGCACATTGCAGGAGTTTAACAAGCACACACCCTGCCCCAGTAGCAGAGAAAAAAGATTTAGAAAGCTTTAAAAAGATTTGCTTTTTCACTGAATAACTGGGCTGAGACTGTATGGGTCACTGGAGGGAGGGGACACAGCCGTCTCTACTGAGGGTCAACTCTTCAAGTGGCTAGGAATCAGTGGCCTGTCACCCCAGGAGAGGTCCCTCAGCCACAGAGAACAGGTTCTGGGTACCAGTGCCAAGGAGCGGACACTAAACTAGGTCCGAAGCTCAGGGTGGGGCTGTGACCTACCCGCCCCAGCAGAGTAGTTGGCCCCAGGTTACCAAGGATGTGGGAGGAGGACAGGGCCATCTGAGGAGAGTGTCCCCAGCCTAGGAGAATAACCCCGTCTCTGGGGTCTCCACCTGGCTGACCCCGTCCCCCAATCCCCCCCATAGGCTTCACCACGGCAGCATACCTGCGCATCCACGCGGTGAAGGACCACGGGCTCCAGGCCCCGCGGGCTGACCGCATCCTGTGCAAGCTGTGCAGCGTGCACTGCAAGACCCCTGCCCAGCTGGCCGGCCACATGCAGACCCATCTAGGGGGGGCCGCCCCCCCTGTCCCGGGAGATGCCCCCCAGCCACAGCCCACCTGCTGAGGGGGACCCCCCGCACCCACCAGGCAAGGCGTGGGACATGGCTTGGGGGAGATGGTGTGTGTGGGACAAGGGGGCTCAAGGGGCCCAGTAGGGGATCTCAGGAAGGCGAGGGATGTCCATCTGTCACTCAGGCTAGGGAGACTTCTGGGAACAGAGAGGGCCCTTCAGGAGAGCTGGATAAGGATGCAGGCCAAAACCTCTGGGGACCAAACAGGAAGTGAGCAACGGCTGTGTCCCAGGGGAGGGAGTCTGGGAAAGAGTCTGGGGCCAAGGGCTGGGCTCTTGCCATTGAGATGGCGCTGTGATCGGGTGTTTTTCGCCACGCAGGTACCGGTGAGGTCTGTCCAATGGCGGCGGCGGCAGCAGCGGCGGCGGCAGCGGCAGCAGCTGCCTCAGTGGCAGCCCCTCCCACAGCTGTGGGCTCCCTCTCTGGGGCCGAGGGGGTGCCTGTGAGCTCTCAGCCACTTCCCTCCCAGCCTTGGTGAACTCCTAGTTGGTGAGGGGGAGAGGGGAGAATGGAGGAGAGTCCCTTTGTATCCTTTCCCCCTCTCTTCCCACCAACTCCTCACTGCTTCCCCCACCACCCAAGGAGCCTCCTGAAGAAAAGGAGGAAGAGATGTTTTCTTAGGGGAATTCACTAGGTTTTAACCATTCGTTTCTCCTGCTCCTCTTCTCCCTATCAGACCTGACCCCACACACCCCTGTCCCCTTGGTTGTGTTCAAGCCCCCTGGACAGTGGGCAGGGATGGCAGAGGACAGGAGCGGCACTGCCTTCACCCCTCTCCTCTCTGTACCCCCTGCCCTGCCCTCCCAGGGATTTGTGAGCCTCCTCCCTTGATGGTCCTTCTTGCTCTCCTTCCGGTCCCCCCCCCTACTGTCTGCTGCCCCTCCCTGGGGAGTTGGTGCTTTTTTTTTTTCCAGGGGGAGGGAGGAGAGAAAGGAGGGGAATCCGAGATTCTGTCCTAAAGAGAGGGAAAGGTGAGATTGAGAAGGGGCAGAAGCAGGGAAGGCAAAGGTTTGTACCTTCATAAGGCGGGGTTGTTTAGGGTCAGGCCCTAAGCATACTCCTCAAGAATCTGTCAGGGGAAAACAAGTCAAGGGGGAGCAAAAGGACCTACTTGGGCCAGAGGCAGGACAAGGAGTGGAACTTTAGGAGGCCAGGGTAGTGGGGAGATCCAGGGACTAGAGGTGCTGCCTGGGTGTGGAGGAAGGCAGCTGCAGCGTCTCCCCCTTTCCTCTTCCACCCCAGCTCCAGCCCTGGCCTTTTTATCCCTCTCCCCCAAGGTAGAAGCTGTGGCCCTGGCCATGTCATCGTGTTCCTGTGTCCCCTGCATGTTCCCTACCCTTCACCCCCTCCTCTTGGCGTGGATCCCATTACAATAAATTTTAAATAAAAACTTGGCTCTGGCTTGATTGAATTGCTCTCACCAAAGTCCCTGTTCCCACCCCCAGGGGCTTCCATCGCGGGCAGCCTTGTTCTGCCTTCTGCAGCTCTGGCTCCTCCCTCCCAGGGGTGGGAGTGGGGGAACCCAATCTGAACAGGCCCGGAATAGCCAGCTATTGTAGGTTTGAAGAGACTTGGGTTAGAAACCCAAACAGTTGCTAGAATCCAGCCAAATACTAACACATCCTTAAGGCCCTGAGGTGATGGCCGATGATGTATCTGCAGAAAGGTTGGGAAGTCTGAACCCTCGGGCTACGAGCGGGGAAGGGGGGGGGGGGGGGGGGGATGAGAAGAAAAACTGCACATTGCCCCTTCATTCCTGCCGTAATCCACCCTGTCCTCACTGGGACTGCCCCAGCCCCTTCCTACTGTTCAGTCTGCCCTGCGGCCTCTGCCCTGCCCCCTTGTAATTCCTCCCAGGCCTTGCTTTCCTTCCCAGGGACCCTTGAGCCTCCCAGCACCCATTTCTGGGGCTGCTCCTGAAGTAGAGGGGCTCTGCAGCCTCCTCCTGAACCCACACCCTGCAGCCTCCCCTAGTTTTGCCTTCTCCCCCTTCCCTCTTCCCGCCCGGAGGGGTGGTCCACCCAGTATTGCCTCTCACCCTGGACCTGCCTCTTCGCAGATCCCTCTCCGTTTCACCCAACCCCCTGCCTCAGCAGGAACCCCGGTGACCGTTGGCGGGAGGGGCCCGGGACTTGGGAAGGGGATACCCCCAGGAGGCGCTCGTGGGAAGGAGCGGGGAGCGGCGCGAGTGGTCCCCCAGCCGGTTGCCTGGGTAACGCGGGCCTGGCACGCGTGGCTCCCCTGGGCGGGCCTGGAGGGGCGGGGGAGCGCGTGCGGCAGCGGAGCGGAGCGCAGGGAGGGGACCGGAGAGGAGGGGAAGAGCAGAGCGACCTGAGAGGAGGGGATGAGCAGAGCGGAGGGGAGACCCGCCGCCTCCCGCCCTTGCTCGCTCGCGGACTCGCTCCCTCCCCGCCTGCAGCTGCTGCACCGGCGGCAGCGGGAGCAGCCTGGAGGCCGGCGCTGAGGTGAGACGGATGGGCTGAGGCTGCGGGTAGGAGGGGACAGACTGCAGAGGCCGGGGCGGGCTGCACTGCACAGGAACACGGCGCGTGGCCTCTTGGCTGGTGGTGCTGGGCGCGCCAAGCCAATGGAAGGAGGCGCCGGGGCACCCCGGGGACAAGGGAATCCCTGGGCGAGGGGCTGAGAAGGGGCTCAGAAGAGATGCCCAGGACCCTCTGGGAGGAGCGAGGGCATCTGTGCCCCAAACACGCAACAAGAAAACCGCACCCACTGGCGCCCAGGTAGGGAGGATGCGGGAGTGAATGTGAGTATGGACCCTCTGCCTAGTCTGCCTGTCGGAGTACAGGGTGCCTGCACAGCTTGATTTTGAGGTGCTGGGACGTCCGCTAGGACCTGGGAGGCTGGGTCTTGTTGGGGTACCAGGAAAAGTCCACGGGGAGGGGCCTGCTTACAAAGGGTTAATCTTCCCGGGGCTCTCCAAACAGAGCACTCCTCCCCAGCGATGTCCCACCCCATGGCAAAGGAAACCCCAACTTTTCTTCCTCTCCCCAGAGGCAGCCCAAGGCTGGCGCCGAGATAGGATCATACCCCTCTTAGGCTGCAGTGCTGAGAGCTCCTCTCCTCACACCAAGCTGATCTCCTCTTCCAGGATTTGCCGCTGTCTCTGCTGCTCCATCCTCCCCACAGAGGCCCTCTCCCCTCTCCCATCACAAGATGGCAGCCAGCAGCTCTGAAGTCTCTGAGATAAAGGGGATAGAGGGGGGTCCCCAGGCCCAGGGCAAAGGGCCTGGCCGTTCTGAGGCGGGGACTGGCCCTCCCCAGGCCCCAGCTGAGGTCCCAGAGGAGCCAGAGGCCCGGCAGTCAGGTCCAGACACCACTCTGGACCCTGTGGACTCAGAGCCCAAGGCTGGGCTAGCTCCAGAAACCACAGAGACCCCAACAGGGGCCCCAGAAACAGCCCAGGCCAAAGATCTTAGCTCCAGCCCAGGAGGGGAACCAAAGGCCAACTCCAGGCCCAAGGAAGTGTGCCAAGAGCCAGCAGCCAAGCCCGAGACGAGCAAAGAGGCCTCTGCCGACCAGGGGTCAGCCCTGGAACCTGCGGGCCTGTGTGAGCCAGCCTCAGAGCCCGCACCCCAGCTGGACCTCCAGCCAGTTTCCCAGCCCACTCCCAAGCCAGCCCTTCAGACAGAGCCCCTCATCCAGGAGGAGCCCACACCGGAGGCCTTGACTGAGAGCGTGGGGGAAAAGCAGGAGAACGGGGCGGTGGTTCCCCTGCAGGCTGGCGATGGGGAGGAGGGCCCCGCTCCCCGGCCCCACTCCTCACCCTCCACAAAGCCCCCTCCGGCCAACGGGGCTCCTCCCCGCGTGCTGCAGCAGCTTGTCGAGGAGGACCGAGTAGGAAGGGCTCACAGTGGGCACCCAGGGTCTCCCCGAGGCAGCCTGAGCCGCCACCCCAGCTCCCAGCTAGCAGGATCTGGGGTGGAGGGGGGTGAAGGCACCCAGAAACCTCGCGACTACATCATCCTCGCCATCCTGTCCTGCTTCTGCCCCATGTGGCCTGTCAACATCGTGGCCTTCGCTTATGCCGTTATGGTGAGCCCCACGAGACCCTGGCCCAGGCCTGCGGGGCGCCCCCCTCCCCGCGCTGGAACCAAGCCCCGGGGACAGCCCGGCTTCCCTCTGCATGGGTCTGGCTTCCAAATTATAGGGCTTTGCCCTCTGAGCCTCTATGGCCTCACTCCTTCAGGTGGGAGGGATGGCCAGACACATTTCACACAGCCTTGCTGACCTATGCCCTCCTCCCTCTGTCTCTCCGACTCTCCTTCCTCCCTGACCACGGGCTGGCCTCTCTCCTCTGGATGACTCTCGCCTGATCCGTGCTGAGCTGGCCTCTGACCTGGCCTCGATGCCCCACTCCTCACCCTGACCTCAGTCCCGGAACAGCCTGCAGCAGGGGGACGTGGATGGGGCCCTGCGTCTGGGGCGAGTGGCGAAGCTCTTGAGCATCGTGGCGCTGGTAGGGGGGGTCCTCATCATCATCGCCTCCTGTGTCATCAACCTGGGCGGTGAGTGGGGGCCTGGGGCCGGCTGGGAGGAATGGAAGGGCTGGCAAGGGCAGCTGTACTAACCCCTGACCCTGCTCTCTCCTGTCTGTCTCCCCTCCTGTCCTTTGTCTCTCCTTGTCTCCCCCACCCCACCCCGCCCACTGTCTCTCTCTCGGTCCCGCCCTCTCCTCTTCCACAGTGTATAAGTGAGGGCTCTGCCCTGCACTCCAAGACTTTCCTTCCTGTTGGGAGCCATCTTGGGCCCACCCTCCCCTGCTCCCCTGCCGGGAGCCAATCGATGGCCCAGGCCCGCACCCATAGGGACCAAGGGAGCCTGAGCGGCCTTGTTTACAGCTTCTTTCCTGATCCTGCATCTTGCCAGGCTCCTCTGCCAGCCGTAGGCCTCCCTTCTCCCTGCACCGTTTCCAGTCTTCCTGCACTTCTGCCTGCAGCCAGCCCGGCCTCTGGCCTCTCATCCTGCACTTCCGGAAACCTCCCTGAACATCTCCCAGACTCTTCGCTCTCAGCCTCCCTGCATTTCTCCTGACTTGCACTTCTTCAAACCTCCCAAATTATCTGCACTTCCAACCTGGTCTCCTCCCCACTCACCCCCAACTTTCATTGTCTTGCCATTTCCCCTCCCACACACACTCCCCAATTCCTCTATTCCTTCTCTCTTTTTTCATCTCTCCCTCCCTCTCCACACCCTCCTCCCTGTCCCTCCTCCTGCCTCATCTCCCCCCAGCACCCATCTCCTCCCCTAAGGGTACTCTCCTCTGATTTTTCTGCTGTCACTGATTATTCTGCAAAAACTCCAGGACTTAGATCAGGGCTGGGAAAGGGCAGCAATGTCGGGAGAGGACCCTCTAGCCCAGGGCTGTTCTCTGTTGGCACGACCCAGGTCCGGATGCCTCCAGGGTGCCCGGGGTGGCAGAGCTGGCCGGCCAGGGCTCCTCTGGGGGCTTGTGCAGGATGGTGAGCGCCGTTCCAAACACCGGGGAGAAGGGAGGGGTGCGGCGACCGCCCCTCCCCGGTCGGGCCTACTTTATTGACCTGCCCCACCTGGGCTTTTTAACCCAGTCGGCAAGTTTCTTAAAGGCGAGAACTGGGGTGACTCACGTGCTTTGTAACGAAAGAACCCCCAAAACAGGACCAAAGCTACCAGCCTCCAGGAGCGCGGGAGGAACGGGGCGCTGAATAACTATTTTCTAAGAGGAGGGAAGTGTGTTGCACGCGATCTTCCGCTAGGGAGGCAGAGACCTAGCTACCACGCGGTTTGGAGTTAGCGGGTTTTTTTGTTTTATGGGGTTGGGGGAAAAAACACCAAAAAAAACCCTAAAAGTCTACACAAAAAAAAAAAGGATACATTAAACTAATTCTCCCTTTTTGTATGCCGGATGCTGCATGAGTCTGAAACACCAATAAATGGAGACTGCATGAAACTCGCTTCCAGCCTCAGTTGGTCCTCACGTTGGTCCGCCACCGGGTGCGCCAGTGCTGCCTCTGGGGCGAACCTGCTGGCCAGTGCGCACCCGCACCGCGCCGGCCGCCATCTTTCCTGCGGGCGAAGCCTCAGCCCGAGCGCCGCCTGCGCATGTGCGGCCCCGCCCCCCTCCCGGTAGCGCCCTAGCGTGGAGCCGCCGTCCGCGCCTGCGTACTGCGACCCGCCGCGGCGGGCTGAGCTCAGGTGCGTACGGCGGCCGAGGCGGCGCTCCGAGCGGCGGAGGGGGCGGTGTGCGGCGAGCAGCGGCGGCGGCCCGTGGCCGGGAACACGCAGCGCCGGACCCCCGCCCGCGGGCGGGGCCCTGGAGGACGCTGAGCGCCCCCTCGCGGGGACGGGCGGTCCGGTCGCGGGGATCGCTGCTGGGGCCTGATTGGGCGGAGAGACATCCTTAGGGACGCCCCCGGGGAGCCCAGTTCCCGGGGGACCGGGCCCCAGCTCAGGACTCCTGCCTCGCCTATCACCCAGGGTTCCTTCCTTAGGGGCTTATGTCCCTTGTCCGGGGTCATGGAGACGTTGCGGCCACCCCGGCGGCGCCTCTGTCCGAAGAAGGGGAAGTGACCTCCGGCCTCCAGGCTCTGGCCGTGGGAGACCCCGCAGGCCCACCGGCTGCGGCCAGTAGGGGCGAGGAAGAGGGGGGAGGAGGCCGGGAGGAGGCCGAGCGTGAGGGGCCTGGGGTCGAGGAGGCGCAGGGAGAAGCCCCCAGCGCCGAGGGGGAAGAGCCAGCCCAGGCAGACCCCGAGGACTGGTGCGTGCCCTGCAGCGATGAGGAGGTGGAGCTGCCGGCCGATGGGCAGGTCTGGATGCCGCCCCCCTCCGAAATCCAACGGCTCTATGAACTGCTGGCGGCCCAGGGCACCCTGGAGCTTCAGGCCGAGATCCTGCCCCGCCGGCCGCCCACTCCCGAGGCTCAGAGTGAAGAGGAGAGATCCGATGAGGAGCCCGAGGCCAAAGAGGAGCAAGAGGAAAAGTGAGGGCACCCCCGTATGCCTGGTCCTTGGGTCGGTCCCCTGAAGCCAGGAGGAAATGGCGAGGGGGAGGTGGGACTCGGGAGCATGGAAAACGGAGGGAGGGAAGAGAGCTGGCAGGCTGGGCGAAGCACATGAGTGGGTGTGTCTGGGGAGACCACCCTCACCCTTCACTCTTTGTCCACCTGCCTCAGGCCGCACATGCCCACAGAATTTGACTTTGATGATGAGCCCATGACACCAAAGGACTCCCTGATTGACCGAAGGCGCACCCCAGGTACTGACTGACAAGGGGGAGGGGCGAGTGGGGGGAGGTGAAGGGCTTCTGCTCCCACTTACCCCAAAAGTGACTCTCAAAGAACCGTTTGGTGCTTGGGCTGTTCTGCATCCTGCTGCTGCAGGGGAGCGCATGCACACATGGGTCCATCCTTTCAGCTTAAATCGATAATCCTAAATTCATTTAAGAGAATTCCACAGGCAATTCCATCATGGCTCCCATTTCCTTTCTCTCCATTCTCCCCAGAAGTCCAGGTCTTCCTGGTCATTCATTATTGTCTTGGTTCACACCCCTATACTCCTGTGTATGTCTCCTAAGTCTCCTAACCTGACCCAGTTTTCACCCTTCCTAGAATTTACCCTTAGCGCCATTCTTGATTTCTCTCTTACTGCAACATTCAAGCCAGCAGCAGCAAGTCCAGTAGCTCTGCCTCCACATTTCCAAGTTCATCTACAATAGGGGTGTCGAACTCAATCAGAGAAGGGGCCAAAATCTAAAATCCAGCCTAAATCGAGGGCCGAATGGTTTACTGAACAGTCATAAACTGTCATTGTGATGGAAACGCAGCGGAGTGCAGTGATGACAGCGCGGTGCGGGCCACATTGCAAGGCCTGGCGGGACGGATTTGGCCCGCGGGCCTTGTGTTTGACACATGTGATCTACAACTTTCAACACCATCCGCTCATCCAAGACACCATCTCTTGTCTGGATAATTGCAATAGCACCGTACTGATCTCTCTGCCTCCAATCTGGGTGACTAGAATGACCGTTTTAGAACATAAATCATGCCACTTCTCTGTCCGAAATCCTCCAAAGGTTTCCATTGCTGGGAAGAGAGGGAAGAGCGTGTTGAGAGAGAATCCAACCCCCACCTAGGCTTCCAAAGGCATTTCCATTTAGAATAAGATCCAGATTGAAACCGGTTTGGCTCAGTGGATAGAGCGTCGGCCTGCTGACTGAAAGGTCCCAGGTTCGATTCTGGTCACGGGCATGTACCTTGGTTGCAGGCACATCCCCAGTAGGAGGTGTGCAAGAGGCAGCTGACCCATGATTCTCTCTCATCGATGTTTCTAACTCTATCCCTTTCTCTTTCTCTCTGTAAAAAATCAATAAAATATATTTTAATAAATAAATAAATAAAATAAGATCCAAAATGCCCTAGCCCAGTGGCCGGCAAACTCATTAGCCAACAGAGCCAAATATCAACAGCACAACGATTGAAATTTCTTTGGAGAGCCAAATTTTTTAAACTTAAACTTCTTCTAACGCCACTTCAAAATAGACTCACGCAGGCCGTGGTATTTTGTGGAAGAGGGGTCAAAGAGCCGCATGTGGCTCTCAAGCCGCAGTTTGCCGACCACTGCCCTAGCCGGTTTGGCATCCGCCTGCGAACTGAAAGGTCCCAGTTTCCATTCTGGTCCAGGGCACATGCCCGGGCTGTGGGCTCGATCCCCAGTGGGGAATTTGCAGGGGGTAGACGATCCATGATTCTCTCATTGTGGATGGTTCTGTCTCCCTCTTCCTTCCTCTCTGAAATCAATAAAAATATAAAAAATAAAATAAGATCCAAACCCCTTATCAGGGCCTCCACCTCATTTCTTGGGCCTCATCTTTCATGTCACTGCAGCTCCACACTCTGAGCAGACCTCCCTGCTTCCACCTGGGCCTTCCCTGGTGATTCCCCAGGTGGTTAGTGGCATCCAGGCAGGCGCAGGCGGCCTCACCTCCTTCCACATTTCTCACCTTCCCTCTCCAGGAAGCTCCGCCCGGAGCCAGAAACGGGAAGCCCGCCTGGACAAAGTCCTCTCGGACATGAAGCGACACAAGAAGCTGGAGGAGCAGATCCTTCGTACTGGCAGGGACCTGTTCAGCCTGGACTCGGGGGACCCCAACCCCGCCAGCCCCCCACTGCGGTCCTCAGGGAGTAGTCTCTTCCCCCGGCAGCGGAAATACTGACTGGTGCTGCCTGAGGCTGCGGCGTGTCCCTGCGGGGCCTCGGCCCTCCTGCCCTAAGCCTGGCGCTGGGAGACTTGGAGAGAGGGCAACTCCAAAGCCCCGACAGCACCCCGCCCGCGAGGGGGCGCGCCTGTGTTACGTTTTCTGTTGCACATCTGTTTGGAGACCTGGCCTGAAATTTCTGAATCTAAATAAAAAATACAAAGTTATCTTCTCTTAGGAGAGGGGCTGCAGCTGGAGCCCTAATAGTCATGGAAGCATAATTGTCTTCCCCCACGTTGGGAAGTTAGAGGTGAACTCCGTCCACCTGTGGTCAGTCCTCTGACCTCTCCCAGTCTCTCCAGTGAGGCCAGCTGGTTCTGTTAAACGAGCACAGCGCCTGCAGCTGCAGTGAGAGCCGCCCAGAGGAGGAAAGGAGCAACAGCTGCGAGGGCCCTTTAAATGCCTAAGCCCCACCCCGGGGCTGCCCTGCCCAGTGCTGGCTACCGGGAAGTGATCCCTGGGGCTGGGTTCCTGAGTTCCCCCCAGTCGTGAGGAGTCATTGCAGTCAGCCACACTACTGGATGTGAGTACGGAGCACTGGCCCCCACACCCCGAGTCTGGCAGGGCCTGTGACCCTTTCCAGCCCTGTCCTGCCCTTAGTGCCTTCTCTTAGGGCAGGTGGGACCCTCTGAGGCAGAGGAGTGAGAGGGTGGGTGGAGGGTTGGCCTTTAGAGATTTTGCTTTTCTTGGAGTTTTTTGTCTTTTGAAGTAAAAATAGACCAATTTGTCACTTTGCCAACACCCCTCACCTCCAAAATCTCGGGCCTCCCTAACTTCCACCTCCCACATCAGCAGCAAGGCCAGAGGAAGCGAAGGGCCCGTTCTCACCCTCCCAGGATTAGATTGGGCCTTGCTGTGTTCATTGGCCTCTCCCCGGGGCCTGCGCTCTGGCCTGTCCCCAGAGTTCTTGGAATGTGATTTGTTCCCTTTGAGACCCCTCAATTTTGCCAAATATTGAGGTTTTCATACCGTCCGACTCGGGGCTGTGCCCACTGTGGGCTTTGTGACCACTTGAGTCGCCATTAGAGCAATCTCAGGCTCCATCCCAGAGGGGGTGGAGCTGGGTGAGCAAGGCTTACCCTGCGTGCGAGGGGAAACGAGCAATGGAAGCTGGGGACCTTGGTCTCAGGGTGAAGCGAGGAGGGGCGGGAATGGGGCTGAGGCAGTGCTCTGTGTTTCCTCCCTGCCCAGGTGAGCCCCTGGCTTATGGGGGAAGGTTGGCTGGGGGGGGGGGGGGGGGGGGAAGAGTGCCAGCTGACTCCCTGGGAACGCCTGCCTGTTTCTCCCCTGGCACAGGGCACCCAGCCCTGAGTGGTGCTTCCTGGGCAGGGCAGCCACTGGACTGGCCCGGCCTCTTTGTTGAGTGCTGCCCTCTCAGGTGGCAGAAAATGCCCACCTTTGAACTGCCATTGGTGCCACTCCCTGGAGAGTACCCAGACCCACCCAAGCCCTTGTTCTTGGTCTTGTTGACATTGGTGCCTGCAGCCAGGCACCTGGGGTGGAACTCCGGCTTCGGCCCTGGATCATTCTGTGATCCTCGGCAAGTTCCCTAACTTCCAGGTTGTAAAGGAGTTAATGAAAGGTATTATCGCTTGCCTGACACAGATAAGTTCTTAATGAGGACTAAGGGGAGCTGTTATTCAGGGGTACTCGCCGATGGTACAAGTCTGAGTCTCCCACTGGGTCTGGGGTCAGACCTGGGAGCACTCACAGCTGAGTCCTACGACGACAAGTTTAGAAAACACTGACGTGACCAGGGGTTCTGAAGCCGGGTCCTGGGTCCTAGTCCAGGCGACCCTTCCCTTCAGCGATTGGCATTCATTGGCAGCACGTGGGAGGGCGATGGAGGTAGGACGAGAGGCACCCTGAGCTGCTCCTCCCCAAAGTGGCCTAGCTGGGCTGGAGCTCAGGAAGCTTTTCTAGGAAGAATAGTCTCTAAAGTTCTGCTAAGTGATTTATGTGAGACAGATCCTCCAGAATTCCTGCTGTGGTCCCTAAAGCGGGAGGCGATTCCCTAGCCAGGACACGATCTGGAGAACAGCCTTAGCAGTGCCCCAGTGTGACTCATTCTCCAACAAAGGCTGGAACGTTGAAAATCGGTGAAGGAGCCAAAACTGGTTTGGCTCAATGGATAGAGCGTCGGCTTGGTGACTGAAGGGTCCCGGGTTCGATTCCGGTCAAGGGCATGTACCTTGGTTGCGGGCATATCCCCAGTAGGGGGTGTGCAAGAGGCAGCTGATCGATGATTCTCTCTCATCGATGTTTCTAACTATCTCCCTTCCTCTCTGTACAAAATCAATAAAATATATTTTTTTAAAAAAAAAAAAAAAGGAAAATCGGTGAAGGAACCTGTTTGGGCTGCACTTCACATGCAAATTCCTAAGCCTAAGCTTGATAGCGGTGATTGCATCACGACCTGGTTTAAGATTCACTGTCAGCCACGCACAGATGACCCTAAAGATCTCTGATATGGAGCGACTCCTGCTCATTAATTACGTTTTACTGCAGCCCGAGTTTACCGTTCAGCCGAGACAGGTGAAAGCTGTCTCTTAACTAGAGGATGAGCCCAGCCCCTCCTCCTCAGGCTGTTGTCTCTGCTCATCCACCCACTCCCCTGCCCCTGTCAGCGGGGCGGGTGAGGTGCAGCAGGGAGAAAACTGGGTGAAAACTGACTGGTTCTTACAGGAGCCACATGACCCATGGGGACATGTGATCAGGCAACCCGGAAATGTGCCCCTAGTGCAGCCTCGGGCAGATCTCCGAAGCAGGCACTGAAGGGAGATCTGGATGGATTTGGGGAGTTAGGGCCAAACCCAAGCCAGGGCAGGGCCTTCAAAGGTCAACAGACTCCTTAACCATTGTCTTTTAAAAATTTTATAACATATATATATATATATATATATTGAAATATAAATAGCCAACGTTTCCCTCATAAGGGAGAGAAAGAGAAACATCAATGATGAGAATCATTGATCAGCTGCCTCCTGCACACCCCACACTGAGGATCGAACACACAACACACACAACCCAGGCATGTGCCCTGACTGGGAACCAAACTATGACTTGGTTCATAGGTCAGTGCTCAACTGAGCCACGCCCTGATCTATTGAAGGTTACATGCCGTCTGGTAACCACTAAAGTCTAAATCTGAAACTTGTCACCAACATCCTGCCTGAGTCGAATGGTTCCGCTGGATCCCCCGAGAGGCCCTGTGTTGAGGCTCACTCCTGTGGATGGCGAGTGAAAAGGCAAAGTCTGTTCTTGGGTGAACTGGGCAGGGAGGTTAAGAAAAGTCCTGAAACAAGGGTAGTTGGCAAAGGCTTGGCTCCAGAACAAGGAAGGAGCGCAGTTTGATCCGTTGAAAGGATGACTCTCAGCTGAGTCATGAGCTGGGCCAAACTCTCAGCCCCGCTGACTGCGCCCAGCTGGGGTGACAGATGGTGGGGATTGGGATCATCCAACAACGAGCCATTGGAGACTATTTCCAGAGCCTGCTTCCCAGCCTTGCATAACCTGGAGTTCAGCTCTTCCTGGGGGGCCTCGCAGAGCCTGTCCATACCTCCGCCTGCAGCCCGCGCTCTTCCTCTCCCCATCTGCCTTCCTGGCCAGGCTGCCACTGCAGAGGACCCAGCACAGGAGCAGCGAGAAAAGGCTGCATGCAGCTGCCAGGTGCCCCTTTCTTTGCAGTTCTAGCCCCACGGCTGGCATGACACAAGACCCGCCACATTCCTGACCAGAAACGAGGTTCAGGTGCCAGTGCGGGTGAGATGGTGTCTGGTGTTGGGTCACGTGCTCTAAATGCATAGGAAAGTGGCCTCAGGCCGTTCCCTGCCTCAGTGGACACGGTGCTTCCGAAGGGCCAGGCTCTGCTCCAAGCGCGTTATGATGAACTCGGCCCTCCTCACCTGGGTAAATGCCCCAGCCCAGTGGTCGGCAAACTCATTAGCCAACAGAGCCAAATATAAACAGTACAATGATTGAAATTTCTTTTGAGAGCCAAATTATTTAAACTTAAACTATATAGGCAGGTACATTGTTATTAACTTAATCAGGGTACTCCTGAGCTGGCCTTTGCTAAAAACTCAAGGAGCCAAAGAGCCACATGTGTCTCGCTAGCCGCAGTCTGCTGACCACTGCCCTATCCATTCCCATTTCATTGGCCAGGGAAGGCAAGGGACTTGTCTCAGGTCACCGATCCAGTAAAGGGGAGAACGGAGATCCAGGCAGCTCCAGCCCCCGAGCATGTGTGGAGCCCCGCATCAGGGAGCAATTTCAGGGACTGAAGCACAGCTGAGCAGGATGGGACACTAGGGAGAAAGGAGAGTGAGGAGGGGAACAGAACCCCAAAAGCAGAACGCCAGCCCTAGTATTTTCAAGCACTACCCGGCATCAACAGAAGAGGGCGCTCTGGCTTTAGGAAAGCCGCTCTCCTAGGAGTTGAGGGGAATTCATATAAAAAAGGAACCACAGAAAAGTATCAAGGTCAGTTCCCATACAAAGTTGCAAGATAAAAGAATGAGTAGAATAACATCCCTCTGATGTGAAAAGTGACCCAGGAAAACAGATAAAAACTGTAGCCCCTTTTAAAATGAAGCAAGGGATTAAGGAAACAATACAAGGCATGAAAGCCGCAGCTCAGGCTTGTCAGGAAGCCCAGGCAGACTGTTTGAATCTGTAGCACTAACCATTGAACCGCAAAGGAGCCATTCCATTGAGAGTCTCCTCGCAATAGCACCCCATAATGTGCTGTGTGGCTTGGAGGACTCGTCCCCATCTCGGCTACTGAGAGCTGTTCTCTCTAATAAGAGATCAACCAGCCACACTTGGCTATTTTTTTTTCTTCAATTAGTTTATATTCAATATTACTTTGTATTAGTTTCAGATGTATGTACTTGGCTATCTCCTCTCCCCGCCCCCAAAGAAAAAAGAAAACCAGCCCACAATGTTTTGTATCATATTTGGTACCTTCGCACTTGGCTGTGTTAATTAAAGTATAAAGCTAGCTGCCCGGCTGGCGTGGCTCAGCAGCTGAGCGTTGACCTATGAACTGGGAGGTCACGGTTCTCTTCCCGACCAGGACACATACCCAGGTTATGGGCTCAATCCCCAGTGTAAGGTGTGTAGGAAGCAGCCAATCTGATTCTCTCATTGATGTTTCTCTCTCTCCCTTCCTCTCTGAAATCAATACATATATATTTAACAACTTCCTCAGTTACACTAGCCATATTTCCAATGTGGTCAGCCAGAGAGCACAGACTTAGACTATTTCTAGCATTGCAGAAAGTCCTGTTGGAAGCTGCTGAGTTACAGCACTTTGAGCAGGAGCGGGCAGGTGGGATGAGGGGCCAGGTGGAAGGCAACAGGGAGTGGTGGGGACTGTGGTAAGCAGGAAAACCTGTCCCACCTAAAGCACACAGCTGCTCCGTGGCTCTAACCAATTCTCTGCGGAATGTAGGGTCTATCTCCTAATGCAGTGGTCAGCAAACTCATTAGCCAACAGAGCCAAATATCAACAACTGAAATTTATTTTTAGAGCCAAATTTTTTAAACTTAAACTATATAGGTAGGTACATTGTTATTAACTTAATCAGGGTACTCCTAAGCTGGCCTTTGCTAAAAACTCAAGGAGCCAAAGAGCCGCATGTGGCTCACAAGCCAGTTTGCTGACCACTGTCCTAATGCTTCAAGAAAAGCAGGAATTAGGGGCTTGTGAAAACTCTCAATTTCTAAACCCCAAAGTTGAAATTTTACAGATTATATAGATCAAGTAAAACTCTTGGGTCTCCTCGCCTTGATTCTATAGTGTTGTGGCTCCTGCCTCTTATTCCTGTGCCAGTTCTCCCTCCCTCCTTCCCGTTTCTCACTCAGCCTGGAAGCTGGCTGTAGGGTGCAGCAGGTGGCTTTTAAACTGACCAGAGTCTCGGGAGACAGGCTCTGAGTTGCTTAGTAAACTTGGTTCCCTCTGTGGGACCCAAAGGTACATGCCGTCAAAAGTCCAAGGCATGCTGGGGGCAGCGATGGGGTGTAGGTGGGAGGTGTGACTTCCTGACTGGGCCAGTCGCTGGACGGAGCTGCCCGGGACTCGGAGTTGAGGGAAAGGGGGGAAAGAACTGAAGTAATTTGTGTGATCCAGCTGATTCTACAGGAACATCAGCTCGTCAAGGACCGCAGGACTGTTTAAAGCACAGGGTGGGGCTGGAGAAGCAACGATTATGCAAATATTCTGGGGCTGCGGGCTGTCAGTTGAATAATGCTGGGGTCCTCGGGACCCCCTGAAATGAAGCTGCTGGCCCCTGGGGGAGCCACAGCACCCCTAAAGACTGACCTGCACTCCCAGCTCCTCCACCGTGGGGGCTGGAGATTGGAAAAGTGCGGGCAGCTCAGGCCGTAAAGCTGACGGGAAGGAGGAAAAGGGTCAGCGAGAGCCCTGGGCTTCTGTGGGCAGCGGTGCTGGGCAGTCCTGGCAGAGGTGAGATCTGGGTGAGCTGTGCTGCCCAGGGGGGAAGAAACAGGAAGAGTTGGGCACGGACACAGCAAGAGGTAGAATAATCCGAGTTGGAGGAGGAAGGTCCTTCCCCCACTTCCAGCCAGTCTCCAGGCGCCTGCCTGCCTCCTCCTAGGCCCCTTTCTCATCTTGTATCTTCTCCCACCCATCTATCCCTCTGTATGCTGCCCTGGGCACAGGAGTTACCATGGCGACTGAAGAGTCCATCATCCGCATTCCCCCTTACCACTACATCCATGTGCTGGACCAGAACAGCAATGTGTCCCGTGTGGAGGTCGGGCCAAAGACTTACATCCGGCAGGACAATGAGAGGTCGGTGTGCGGGCGGGGCTGTGGGGGCCCCGGGGCGGAGCGGGGCTGTCAGTCTGGCTGGCGTGATCGTTCACTTCTTCTGAGGACGGGCCCTCACAGGGGTCCCAGGCAGCTTCCTCTCTCCTCACGCCACCTCTCCCCTTCCCACAGGGTCCTGTTTGCGCCCCTGGTCATGGTGACCGTCCCCCCACGTCACTACTGCACCGTGGCCAACCCGGTGTGCCGGGACGCCCAGGGCTCGGTGCTGTTCGACGTCACGGGGCAAGTACGGCTGCGCCACGCTGACCTGGAGATCCGGCTGGCCCAGGACCCTTTCCCCCTGTACCCGGGGGAGGTTCTGGAGAAGGTGTGTGCCTGGCCCCCCCAGCCCCTCTCCCGTCCTGCTCCCACACTGCCTTCGGAGGGAAAACAAGCTGGCACCGGGAGGGGCCGGGGCGGGTCTCCCGGCTCTCACTAGGGGTGGAATCCATTCATTGCCCCTCCACCGGCCTCCCCCAAACGCCCCTTCCTCTGCACGTGCCCACAGCAGGCTTGCCCCTTTTGAGAGCTGTCAGCCCGTCTCCCCACCGGACCAACCAGGCTCCAGAGCCTGCTGGGAACTCCCTGCCAATCTGGCACTGAATGGCTTGTGCCAAGAGGAAGCATTGTATTCATTCAAAAGGTGCCAGACACTGGTGGGCAGTGACAGCCATGGCGGACGAGAGGAGGCCCAGGTTCGGACGCCGTGGTTTCCCCATGGGAAGGTGCTGGGGGCTGTCCTGGCGGCCAGGCCCTCCTCCGTGTGGCACGGGCCCTGGGCCTGAGCCTGTGGGCGTCCCGCCTGCACTCCCATCACTGTCTGCCTTCGCCTCCTGCCCTTCTACCCGTTTCCCTTCGGGCTCCTCCGCTAAGCTGCGCTTCCTGGCCCTGGCAGCCTAGAAGGGTGACCCAGGGGACCCCAGACCCTCTGTCCGCTGAGATGTCAGTGCTTTGCAGAGAGTGTGTGTGGAGGTGGAAAGTGACACAGAATAATAGAACGTCACCTTTGAGGACTCCGTGTGGAGCCTTAGGGGTAGACTTTGCATCAGAATCGCCTTTATTTAAGTCAGAAACGGTCAGAAGGTGAAAATCACCCATATCTAGGGCCTATCTCAGACCGACTAAATCCCAGCTGGGGGAGCGGGGGGTGGAGGCTAGTATTTATTTTTTTTATTTATATATATATATATATATATATATATATATATATATATATATATATATATTATTTTTTTTTTTTTTTTGCAGAGAGGGAGAGAGAGTAAGAAACATCAATGAGAGAGAAACATCCATCGGCTGCCTCCTGCACACCCCCCACTGGTGTGCCCACAACCAACGTACATGCCCTTGACCAGAATCAAACCTGGGACCCTTCAGTCCACAGGCCAACGCTCCATCCACTGAACCACACCAGTTCCGGCATGGGAGCCAGTAGTAAAAGCTCCCCAGGGTGGAGAGAGATTCCCACACCCCTGCCTCTCTCACCGCTGCTTTCCAGCCACAGCAGCTCCTGCTCTGTCAACTCTTAGTCCTTCCGACCGGATGGCTCTGGGACCACCCCCACCTTGAACGTTTCGTTCCGGCTCTTATTTGGGGGCTTGTGTGAAGATTGATGGGTGGATTCTGACCTCCAAGATATCAGGTTTGACTTCCGGGGCCAGAGCACTGAGTGCCCATGCCCCCCTCTCCCCGTTAGGACATCACCCCACTGCAGGTGGTCCTGCCCAACACGGCGCTCCACCTGAAGGCGCTGCTGGACTTCCAGGATGAAAACGGAGACAAGGTGGTCGCCGGAGACGAGTGGCTCTTTGAAGGACCCGGTAAGTTCTTTCCATTGGGCCTGCCTTCCCATCACAGCCCTGATGCCCCCGGACCCTCGCCCCCCGACCCTCGCCCCCCGACCCTCGCCCCCCGACCCTCGCCCCCGACCTTCACCCCGCCGCACCTTCCCCTCAGGCACATACATCCCCCGGAAGGAGGTGGAGGTCGTGGAAATCATCCAGGCCACCGTGGTCAGGCAGAACCAGGCTCTGCGGCTGAGGGCCCGCAAAGAGTGCCGGGACCGGGACGGCAAGGAGAGGGTGACAGGTGAGGGGTGGAGGAGCACGGGGTGTGTGTGTGTGTGTGTGTGTGTGTGTGTGTGTGTGTGTGTGTGTGCAGGCCGTGGCTCCGACTTTCTCACCTGCAGGGAAGTGGGGGACGGTGGGGAAAGCCACCCACAAGTGGCTACAGCCCGGGAGGAAGTGCTTCCCTGGAATCTTAGACGCCGCTGGGGGCTCCCACCGTCGCTTCCCCAGCCGCCTTCACGCAGGCGAGGTCCAGCCCTGACCTGAGATCACCGCCTGCTGACGGCCTTCCCTTCTCCCTCCCCCTCTAGCATGCGCCAGGGCCGTGGCCTTGTCTGTTTCTGGGTCAGCAAAGCGGGTGACCCCATGCAGTTGGCACTTGTATGTGACAAATGTGATGTATGGACAATGTCTTCCATTGTACAATGCCAGGTGCGACTCAGAATGCTTTGCAAATAGTCTCTTATTTGGTCCCCAAACAACCTCGAGTCACTACCATTCCCATTTTCCATCTAACAAAACCAAGACACAAAAGTTAGGTTACTGGCCTGGGTTTATGGCCGGGGGCAGCTGGGGGCAAGCTTGGGTGACCTCTGACCCTTACTGCCCGCCTCCCCTCCCCGCCAGGAGAGGAATGGCTGATCCGCTCTGTGGGCGCGTACCTGCCCGCGGTGTTCGAGGAGGTCCTGGACCTGGTGGACGCCGTGATCCTCACGGAAAAGGTCTGTGCTCTGGGCGTGCGGGTGAGGGCCTCCGGGCGGGTGGGGTGGGGTAACAGCGAGGAAGAGGAGCAGTGTGCTAGGTCACCTGAGGAGAGTCCGGGTCACCGGAGGGGTTCGGGGGTCCTGGGTGGTGGGGACTGTCACTGAGACCCGGAGCGTTTGGTGGCCACCGGGGCCCCCAGGCCCCCTGAGGAGGCCGGAGGTGGGTTCACGCCCACACCCGTCTCCTCCGCAGACGGCGCTGCACCTCCGGGCGCTGCAGAACTTCCGGGACCTGCGGGGCGTGGCCCGCCGCACCGGGGAGGAGTGGCTGGTGACGGTGCAGGACACGGAGGCCCACGTGCCCGACGTCTACGAGGAGGTGCTGGGGGTCGTGCCCATCACCACGTTGGGCCCCCGCAACTACTGTGTGATCCTCGACCCCGTCGGACAGGATGGCAAGAACCAGCTGGGGCAGAAGCTTGTGGTCAAGGTAGGTGCCCCCGCCCCCCGCGGAGGGCACGTCCGTCAGCGGCTGGGCCTCTGCCTGTCTCCGCACCAGGTCCACCTTCTGGAAAGGCCCGCTGGTCGTGGCTCCCTCTGTGCCGTGGTGCACGAGGCTCTAGCTCTGAGACACATACCCATTGATCTCCTGGGCAACAGCCCTGACCTCCAGTCACACTGCCTCCCTGGGAGCGCGGCCCTGGCCCTGCCCCAGCCCCGCGCTGCAGACTGACCAGGAAACTCCGTATTTCATATTCCTGGAATCGTCGTTCTGTGTAAAACAAAAAAACAACTCTTCGTTCACCCTCCTCCCCAGCCTTTACCTCATCCCCTCTCTGAACTATACAGGGACTGTTCATTCCATAGCTATAATGTGCACTGACCACCAGGGGGCAGACGCTCAGTGCACAGGCATGGAAACAGGGAATAGATGAATCTGAGGGGAGAGAGTGGGAAAGGTCTGGCAATCCAGAACCCCTCGGGGGATGTCAGACTGCGGTTTCAGCCAGATCCCCGCAGGCCAGGCCAAGGGACCTCCCTGGTGCACAAATCCATGCACCGGGCCTCTACTTCAGCTATAAAAGGAAATGAACATGAGCTAAAGTTCATGTACTGATGATCAGCATGCCACAACATGGATAAACTCAGACATATGCCAAGCAAAAGAAGCTAGGCATAAAAGACCACATATTGTTTGACTCCATTTTTATGAAGTGTCCAGAACAGGTAAATCCACAGACAGAAAATAGGTTGGTGGGGTGGGTGGGCTGTAACTGATCTAGGGCACAGTCTTTCTTTTCAGGATGATGACAGTGTTCTGAAAGTAGATTGTGGTGGTGATCGGACAACTGTGGATATACTAAAACAATGGAGTTATATACTTGAAGTGGGTAAATTTTACAGCATGTAGTTTATACAGGGGTGGGCAACATAGGTTAATAATAGTACAATCATTAACAAATATAAGAATAAACTTTCATGTACTTACAACTGTAAGCCTACTTTTGCCCACCCCTGTGTATTTTTTTAAAAGGCAGTGGGCCAGATTTGGCTTAAAGACCAGAGTTTGCCTATACCCAGACTACACCATCCCAAGAAAACAAAACGTAGGGGAGACGAGTAACAATACATTAATTCTTACCTGTTGAGCTGAGAGGATTCAGGTCCTGACGTTTGCAGAGTCTTCAGGGCGGGTTTGACCAGCTGAGATCCGCAGGCATCGCAGAGAGCCTGGGGTCCAGCTAACACTTCACTGTGTCATAACGTAGGGGCGGGGCAAGTGCCATGGGGGCTCCTGACCCAACATGAGCCCAGGGGCGGGCAGAGGTGCCATCAGAGGCTCCCGCCAGCCTGGGGTGCCAGCTCCTGACCCCCCGTCTCCCCTCTAGGGAGAGAAGTCTTTTTTCCTGCAGCCGGGGGAGAGGCTGGAGCGAGGCATCCAGGACGTGTACGTGCTGTCGGAGCAGCAGGGGCTGCTGCTGAGGGCCCTGCAGCCCCTGGAGGAGGGGGAAGGCGAGGAGAAGGTCTTGCACAAGGCTGGCGACCACTGGCTCATCCGGGGGCCCCTGGAGTACGTGCCGTCCGCCAAGGTGGAGGTGGTGGAGGAGCGGCAGACCATCCCCCTGGACGAGAACGAGGGCATCTACGTGCAGGACGTCAAGACGGGGAAGGTACCGGCCGAGGGTGGGCCCTGTCACTGCCCTGGGCACATGGGGGAGTCCGAGGGGGAGGTGCCCGGTGCAGGTCGAGGGATCGGCAGCAGCATTGGTAGCGGCTGAGCGCCTGGCTGGCAGGTGTGAGCCGCCTGTGGACTATGTGCCTTTCCTTCCCTTCATTTAAACATCTAACCTCTCCCCTGGGGAGGAGGTGAGCCAGGTTTCGGGCTGGGGACTCTGTTCCCGCTGCAGATCTGGCCCTGACGTCAGGGTCTGGCTGGGGGCAGAGGAACAGGGAGAACCGATGGTCCCTCCTCTTTGAGCCTCTGCTTGATCTTGGTTTGACCTAGGACCACATCTCTGACCTACAAGTAGAGCTCAGAATCCAGGCAGGGTCAGTGTGTGCCACCTGGTTCCTAGGATTACCTCAGTCCTCGGGACACAGCCTAGCTGCCCGTGAAGGAAAATTCCAGAAGAAATAACATGAAGCACTTCCTGTGTGCCAAGTCCTTCATTCCCAGCCCTGGGAGGCAGCGCGGGGTGGGGGGGGGGGGCGTCCATTGAGGGAGGAGGAGCTGAGGCTGCCAGTGAAGGGGCGTCCCCAGAGACAGAGTACGGAGCCTGCAGATAGCGGGTGTGGACACGGCCTCACCCCAGAGACCGTGTAACCGGGCAGGCCACTGCCCAGGCCAGCTCTCCCCCCTGCACCCCCAACCCCGCACGCCCCCCTGTCGGCAGGTGCGTGCGGTGATCGGGAGCACCTACATGCTGACGGAGGACGAGGTCCTGTGGGAGAAGGAGCTGCCCCCGGGGGTGGAGGAGCTGCTGAACAAGGGGCAGGACCCTCTGGCCGACAGGGGGAAGGAGACGGCCAAGGGGCCGCCCTTGCCCTCCGTCCCCCGCAACAAGACGCGCGTGGTCAGCTACCGCGTCCCGCACAACGCAGCCGTGCAGGTGTACGACTACCGGGAGAAGCGAGCCCGGTGAGGCCCGGTGTGAGGGTGGGGGACGGGGCAGGGGGGCTCTGCGCGCGGTGGGTCTGACTCCGCTCCTCGCTCCTCGCGCCTCGCAGCGTGGTGTTCGGGCCGGAGCTGGTGTCGCTGGGCCCGGAGGAGCAGTTCACGGTGCTGTCCCTCTCGGCCGGGCGGCCCAAGCGCCCCCACGCCCGCCGGGCGCTCTGCCTGCTGCTCGGGCCCGACTTCTTCACGGACGTCATCACCATCGAGACGGCGGACCATGCGCGGCTGCAGCTGCAGCTGGCCTACAACTGGTAAGGGGGGCGGGGCGGCGGGCTTCTGGGGAGGGCCCCTGCAGAACCCCCAGGATGAGCGATGCCTCCGCCCAGCGCTGGGCTGAGAATGAGGGCGTTCCCGCAAACCCAGTCTGGTGGCCCCGTGGAATGATGGGAAGGTGCAGGCTCGCCTCTGGGAGCAGGAGTTTGGGCACCGATGGAGGACAGTCCCACACGGACTGAGCCCCACGACGGCACGGCTGTCAGAGGGCCGGTCAGACACAGGCTGTCGGAGGGCCGGTCAGACACGGGCTGCCGGAGGGCCGGTCGGACAGGCTGTCGGAGGGCCGGTCAGACACGGGCTGCCGGAGGGCCGGTCGGACAGGCTGTCGGAGGGCCGGTCAGACACGGGCTGCCGGAGGGCCGGTCGGACACAGGCTGCCGGAGGGCCGGTCGGACACGGGCTGTCGGAGGGCCGGTCGGGCACGGGCTGTCGGAGGGCCGGTCGGACACGGGCTGCCGGAGGGCCGGTCGGACACGGGCTGCCGGAGGGCCGGTCGGACACAGGCTGTCGGAGGGCCTGTCGGACACGGGCTGTCGGAGGGCCGGTCAGACAGGCTGTCGGAGGGCCGGTCGGACACAGGCTGTCGGAGGGCCGGTCAGACACAGGCTGTCGGAGGGCCGGTCAGACACAGGCTGTCGGAGGGCCGGTCAGACACGGGCTGTCGGAGGGCCGGTCAGACACGGGCTGTCGGAGGGCCGGTCAGACACAGGCTGTCGGAGGGCCGGTCAGACACGGGCTGTCGGAGGGCCGGTCAGACACGGGCTGTCGGAGGGCCGGTCAGACACGGGCTGTCGGAGGGCCGGTCAGACACGGGCTGTCGGAGGGCCGGTCAGACACGGGCTGTCGGAGGGCCGGTCGGACACAGGCTGTCGGAGGGCCGGTCGGACACGGGCTGTCGGAGGGCTGGTCAGACACAGCCGGCGGGAGCAGGCGGTGTGGGCAGAAGGTCCAGAGTATAGGCTCAGGGGCCACTGCCTGGGTCTGCTCCCAGGCCTGCCATCTGCTGGCTGTGGATCTGAGCCGATGACTTGACACTTTCCTCAGTTTCCCCATCTGTCACATGACCATCCGTTTCACAGGCCTCAATCCTCTGCGGTTAGAGCATCTGTCCACACGCTGAAGGGTCACCCCAAAGGATCACGGGCTAGATTCCTGGGTGCAGGTTTGATCCCCGGCCCCCGTTGGGGTGCATGGAGGAGGCAATCGATCAATTAGTCTCTCTCATATTGATGCTTCTCTCCCCCCCTCCCTCCCTTCTACTCTCTACAATCAATGGAAAAAATACCCTCAGATGAGGATTAACAAAAATAAATAAAATGTCACAGACTGACAAAAGGATGCAATGAGCATCAGAACAATGCCCTGTACATCATGCATGTCAACCTCAGGGGCCGCATGCCTCATTTATTTGGGGTTAGCCTTTGAGTTTGACATGCTTGCTGTACATAGTTAGGGATCAAATGGCAGCTGTTAGAGACAGAGAAGACAAGCCACACCGAGAAGTGATGCTCAACTACTCCCAAGGGAGTGTTCTTTTTTCAAAAATAAATATATATTTTTTATTGACAGAGAGGAAGGGAAAGGGAGTGAGAGAGAAACATCAATGATGAGAGAGAGTCAACAATCAGCTGCCTCCTGCATGTCCCTCAATGGGGATGGAGCCCGCAACCCAGGCATGTGCCCTTGACTGGAATCAAACCCAGGACCCTTCAGTCCGCAGGCTGAGACACTATCCACTGAGCCAAACCAGCTAAGGAGGTGTTCTTCACCTCTCAGCTGAGTGGCCGGGACCCGGACAGAGGCAGATGAGGCGCTGATACCATAGGGGTGTGAGAGCGTGGCAGCTCAGAGCATAGACTCTGGGAGCCACACCGACTGGGTTCGACTTCCTGGCTTGTACAGAGTCCATATATTGTACGACTCTGGGCCTGTGACTTAACCCCCATGGCCTTCTGTGTTCTCATCTGTAAATGAGGACAATGCTCCTTCGCTCCTCATAGTGACTGAGAATGAGCTGGGAACACGTGTAAGGTTCTTAGGACTTCACCGGCCCAGGGGGACCCTGATCAGCAGTCTCTCCTGAACAACCCTGCCAGCCAGGGAGGTGGCGTCGGTCGCATTTGAAGGTGAGAGAGCCGTTTCCTGGAGGAAAAGCTTCCTGTTCTGGGCCCCTTTGCTCACAGGCACTTTGAGCTGAGTGACCGGAAGGACCCGCAGGAGGCAGCCAAGCTCTTCTCCGTGCCCGACTTCGTGGGCGACGCCTGCAAGGCCATCGCGTCCCGGGTGCGGGGGGCCGTGGCCTCGGTCACCTTCGACGACTTCCACAAGAACTCGGCCCGCATCATCCGCACGGCCGTCTTCGGCTTCGAGACTCTGGAGCCCAAAAAGACCGATGCGGAGGCTCTGCTCCAGCCCCGGGACCGGGCCGTCTTCCCCCAAAACGGACTGGTGGTCAGCAGCGTGGATGTGCAGTCCGTGGAGCCCGTGGACCAGAGGACCCGGGACGCCCTGCAGCGCAGCGTCCAGCTGGCCATCGAGATTACCACCAACTCCCAGGAGGCAGCGGCCAAGTGAGTGAGGGCAGGGCCCACAGTGCCTCCCGTGGCCAGACCTCTCCAGGGTCTCCATCTCCAGCCCCTGCTGGGCCCTGGGTAATGGCATCCTGGACGGTCAGTCTGGGTGAGACAGCATGGTCCACTTACAGTGTGACTAGATGCCACCCTGCTCCCGTGGCTTCTCCGCTTGCTGTGCTGGAACCAAACTCATTCGGCGCTCTTGCAGGCTCTCTGGATGCAGCCCTGCCTCCCCCAGCTCGCCTTCCAGCCTTCTCCCAAGCTCCAGGCCCAGTAGCTCCTTTGATTTGTTTTTGTTAGTTTTAGTTTTTTAAAAATTTTTATTGTTGAGAGTATTATAGATATCTTCCCCTCCCCCCCATTGCCAGTTCCCGCCCCACCCCAGGCCTTCACCACCCTATAGTCTGTGTCCATAGGTGATACATATATGCATATAAGATCTTTGGTTAATCCCTTCCTGCCCCGCCCCCTCTGAGATTCATCAGACCCATGTTTCCATGCCTCTGTTTCTATTTTATTCATCAGTTTATTTTGTTCATTAGATTCCTTGTTTATTTTGATTTTTAGATTTGATTGTTGATATGTATTTATTGTCATTTTATTCATATTTTCTATCTCTTCTTCCTCTTTTTAAAGAATACCCTTCAACATTTCATGTATTATAATACTGGTTTGGTGGTAATGAACTCCTTTAGTTTTTTCTTGTCTATGAAGCTCTTTATCTGACCTTCAATTCTAAATGATAGCTTTGCTGGGTAGAGTAATCTTGGTTGTAGGTCCTTGCTTTCCATCACTTTGAATATTTCTTGCCATTTCCTTCTGGCCTGCATAGTTTATGTTGAGAAATCAGCTGACAGTCATATGGGC